TTGTAATGTGAAAGGTAGCCAGTAATAGCAGCTTTGTTTTAAGGGGGAGAAGCTGAGGCAAACACTGATTGGTAGATTTAACATGGGCAAATATGCCCTGTCCTTCATGAAAATTTCATGATTTTCTTTGTTCCTTATAGCCTTCTACTTATAGTCATACCTGAAAGGGAAATATTCATAAGCAATATAACTGACCTGGGGCAGCCACACTAGGTCAGTCTCAAGGGTGAGATCTTGACTCAAGTATGGCTTTAAGAAGAATCAGATATTATGAACACCATATAAGGTTAGGGAATAAAGCCTAACATAAGTTACTACTCAAAATATGGGTAGGTAAAATTCAAATCTCCTAAGCCCATGAGAATAGCTGTTCCCTTCTCCAAATCTAATTGTTTCACAGTCATTGTTGCCTTTTGTCAATCTGGAAGGTGGCTGGTCGCACACTTTATAGGACAAAAGCACCGATGTGGATCACTGCCATATAGGATTTGGCCTTTGGCCTTAGAGATCCAAAAAGAGAACCCCATCTCCCAGAAATGATCAGGGTTTAGAGGACAGACAACTCAGCTGGGTCTTTCTCTCGTGTCTCTAGCGCCATCTACTGGGAAGCAAGTGGCCTTCATTCGAATACCTTCAGTTCAGTGTCAGAAACCTAGCCCGGGTAGCAAAGAGGAGAAAAGGGGAGGAAGGAGAAGCCAGAGCAGATTCTAACAAAAAAGATTAGGTGCATTATACTGAAGCCACTGATATACAGTGTACAGTTGAAACCACAAAACAAAAATAAAAACCTTCTAAGTTATCAGAAACACAGATACAAGTAAACACAGACCATATAACAAGCTTTTAAAGCAACAACTGGAAATCATAAACACAGGAAGCATACTATACAGTAAGACAAAACTAAGAACACTTAGAACAAGTGTATGTTGTGTTAATTCCACTAAATGCCCCTATTAAACAGGATCATGGATTGAATCCCAAAACAAAACCCAATAGAATGCTGTATACAAACCAAGTGAAGGCTGAAAATAAAATATGAAAGTAAACCAGGCAAATGAAAGTCAGAATAGTGTGTATGTATACATGTATGTATGTATGTATTGCAGTGCTGGGGATCAAATCCAGGGCATGGGAAAGGCTGTGGTTTTGATTCCCAGCACCACTAAAAAAAAAAATATTGGGCTGGGGTTGTGGCTCAGTGACGGCTTGCCTCGAATATGTGAGGCACTGGGTTTGATCCTCAGCACCACATAAAAATAAATAAACAAAATAAAGGTATTGTGCCCATGTATAACTGAAAAAAATATTTTTTTTACAAAATTGATAAAGTATTAGCTAACCTACTCAATACACAAAACAAGAAATCAATATAGGAAAATTACTACAGATGAGATTAAAAGAACCATAAATTATTACTGTGCTAAACTCTTTATGAATAAGTATCAGAGTAATATAGATGAAATAGGATACTTTTCTAGGAAAATCAAATTTGCAGTTGTGGCCCCTGAAAAGAAATATTAAGTAGACAAATTATGATAGCAAAAATAGAGAAAAATATGGGTACATAGTTATCTAATAAAATAGATATAAAATAATCGGAATAACTTTAGAAACAACCTCTAAAATATATTGAATTAAAAGATCAAGGTGGAAATGGGCTACCAGGTGTGTCAGTGTGTGTGTGTGTGTGTGTGTGTGTGTGTGTGTCTGTGTGCACTAAAATATCTTGTTTTGGATATCTTTTTTTCCAAACATTGCTGGACCTTTATTTTATTCATTTATTTATATGTGGTGCTGAGAATCGAACCCAGTGCCTCACACATGCTAGGCAAGCGCTCTACCACTGACTACAACCCCAGCCCCTTGTTTTGGATATCTTGTTTGGATATCTTGTTTTCTGGAAGGGTGCATAAAAAACAGTAACAGTAATTGCTTCTGTGGAAGGAGTGGGATACGTGGGAAATAAAGATGAGAATTCTTTCATTATATAATATTTTATGTTTGTATCTTTTACATTTGTCACCATTTAAGTTGATCACACATGTAAATATTACTTATTCAAAAATTTTTTTTGTAAAAGAAGAATCTAGGCAAGGAAATAGATGCTTTTTACGTTTCCCCAAATAATTCTATATTCCTTAATTTTTTCCTGAAGCTGATTGTGATAGAAAAGATTCTTTTATATGCTTCCCAAATTCACTTGGTTGAACAGTGGATACCCATATGCCACGGTGTATCACCTGAGCATCAGTCTCTCACTCAGGTGCTTGGTACCCTGGGCACTCCCAAAGCTGTGAACTACAAGACTCCAATCGTCACACACCAGAAAGCTTGCATCTCTGAGTTGAAGTATGTCTTCTTTTGCTCAAACATTAGTGTTTCCTCACAGCAATTAGGAATCTTCAAAACCAGAATCAAAAGCTAAGTCTAATTTTACTTACTTAATTAATGAAGAGTAAGGTACAAGCTCCTGATTTTTCTAGGCCTTCTAAGATTATGGCCTCACTTTGCATGCTAAATCTTTCTCCTAAATATAGTAGGCACCAAGTTCCTAAAGTATCCCCATCTGAACACATGAAAGGAAAAAGTAATCCTCACCCCAAAAGATTATATCAATCACCTAATGTCTGTACTTACCTTTAGTGTATATAATACAAGTCTGGGACAATAAAATTTTAAAAATGACTAAACTGCATCATTGTTTAAGGATCAGAAATGGATCCCCTTTCTTTTCTCCTCTTCAAGAATGACTAGAGTACCAGGCGTAGTGACGCATGCCCATAATCTCAGTGGCTCCAGAGGCTGAGGCAGGAGAATCTTAAGTTCAAAGGCAGCCTCAGCACTTACTGAACAACTTGATGAGACCCTGTCTTAAAATAAAATATAGAGAGGGCTAGTGATGTAGCTCAGTGGTTTAGTGCCCCTGGGATCAATCCCGGTACCACCCCCCAAGACACACACACACACAAAAAAAAAATGTCTGGAGTGTTTGGCTGGCTGAAGAGAAATTAGGGATTCTTTGTGCTTGATGCGATATTCTAGGACCTAACTGTGGGCTACTCCAGGGTGGGCTATGATTTTATGGGACAAGGTGGACCTCTGCTGTCATTTTTGTCCTGGGTTTTTTCCCCTACACTATTCAGAGCCTGCCATAAATATACACATATGTATACCTGGACATAAAAAAATGTGTTTAGTATATTGAGTGTCCTACAAAGATTCTCTCTGAAATAAAGAATTCTGCAGGAAGAGAGGGTGGGTAGTTGAAAGTCAGTGGTCCAATTTCATTGCATTGATGAAATGCCCAGGCTCAGGGCTGTTTGAGATGGCTCAGTCTCGCATCTGGGGAGAACCAAAAGTTAGAAAAGGGGGCTGGGGATATAACTCAGTTGGTAGAGTGCTTGCTTTGCATGCACAAGGCCTTGGGTTCCAATCCCCAGTGCCACAAAAAAAATTTTTAAGAAGTTAGGAAAAGATTGACAGGTTAAAAAGTAAAATGTATTTTCAGAAGAATGTACAAACCCATACTGCTGTTTTGGCAAACGTGTATAGAGGACTTTGTGTTGAGAAATTATCTCTCCCTTGAATCTCCCATTGAAATGACTTAAGATAATCCCACTTTCTCTTTCTTTCCTCAAATCCCTGATTACTTGTTTAGTGCTTTTAGTAGGATGGAAGATATGACAAACAACTTTTACATATTATCAATTCTAAGATGTCATTGTTTATAAAGTTGCCATTATTTTATGTATCATAAAGAAAGAAAATCTCTGCCTTAAACCTGGGCATGACTGAAAATTTTAAAATATGAATGTAAGAGTCTTAAATTGAGGAACTGTGTTGTATCAACATCTAGGTTGTTGATAATATATCAGGTTGTATGAGTCTCAGTTTCCTTATCTGTTACATGAGCAGTTTAGACTAAATGAGCTGAGAACCTACAGGTTCCAATGCTATTGAGCTGTGGAACACCATGAAGGGGTGTTCTGGGCATTGGTCATGTGACAATCACCAAAACTGGAGTCCTGTCCCAGTCCCTTCTATGCTTTGCGCTTTAAGAGTTGAAGATCCCTACATAGCAGTATCCTCCTCAGGACTGTCCACCCACTCACATCATTGTGAAGAGGCTCCAGGATGGCCCACCTTCATAAGAAAAACTCCAGTGCTCTGACAGTTGGAGGAACCTGGCTCACACACACTGAGGCAGTGCTTGCCAGACTGACTGCCCCAGGAATCACTCCTGGAGAAAAGCTTCCATCAAAGTACTGAATTTAAATTGGCAGATGATAGAGTGGTCATACATCCCAGTTTGCCTTGGACTATCCTACTTGATCCATTTGCTCCAGGTTTATTAACATATTCTGATACAGTTTAGAGTGTCTATAGACTGATCAGGGAGGTGATTTGGACAAGGTAATTGCCAGTGTCCCTTTAACCAATAATGGCCCCAAATGGTTTGAAAATCACTATTGCAGGATTTTTTTAGTGTCTGGTCTGCCCTGCCAGGTGCTAATGCTTGGTTAGGAGACTGGAGATATGTTAGCAGTAAAGAAACATCATCTGGAGGTGCAGCTCAGTGGTACAGTGCTTGCTAGCCCTGTATTTGATCTCTAGTACCACACAAAAAGGAAGGAAAGGGAAAAGAAAAAGGAAAAAAGAGAAGAGAGAGAAGGAAGAAAAAAGAATCAATGAGGTGATTGGGTGAAAGGTTAACACAGCCATCACCTTTATGTAACTTAACCTTTCATGGAAATTAACGTGTTTCCTTATTTCTTGTACATTTCATACTTGAATGACTCTGAATATTGTATCTATTGCATTTTATAATCAATAGCATATTCTAATCAAGGAAATCGAATAATTGATTCTCCTTGGGATCTGGGCTTTCATCTCCTTTACGAATTGAAATGAAGCCTGAGAGGGTAGAACCAGTGGGTCTTTTGGGTGCTGTATATAAGGCTTGATCTGAGCATTAATCACCTTTGTTCTCTTTCTACCAGGAGATGTTGCTCCAGTGCAAGGAACTGCATTCGACCTAAGAAAGCCAGTGCAGCTTGGAAAACACCTGCAAGAGTTCCGCCTCGGTGGTTTTGACCATAATTTCTGTCTGAAGAACTCTAAAGAAAAGCATTTCTGTGCAAGGTCAGGTCCTTTTCACTTCCTGCCTCTGAGGGAAGAAGAGACACCAATTCTTTGAGGAGCCTTTTGCCTGACCATATTGGTAGCATTTACAACATGACAGAGGACCAAATACCACATCCCCCATCTTTTCAAAGCTCCCATGAATTTGGTAGAATTCATCCTCCCTGGCCTGCCATCATCCCTCTATCCCCTACTTGGGTGGCATCTCATCTCTCCCCTTCTCTGCCTGTTCTTTAAGGCCCATTTTCTGTTAGAAGCCCTAATGCTTCCTGATTGAAGTCCCCATTGCCTTCCTTGACCTTCCAGAGCCCTTTGTACTTTATCATCTGTGACTCATGTCCTGCCCACCCCTGTGTATACTTGGAGGCTCCCCTTCTCTCACAGCTCTTACCACCTCAGTCTCCAATCTGCTAAGATGCCTGTGTGCATGCTCTTTCCTTCTCACTGAATTCCCAGTTCCTTGTGCCATTTCACTGGCAATAATCAATACAAGTTTGTAGAATCAATGGATTTTAAAGAAATCAGAGAAAATGATTCAAATTCTATAATACAGACAGAAAGAACTATACAAATCTTCTCCACCTCCAAGCCCCAGCACCAAGGCCCCCTGTGTTCTATCTGTTTGAACCACCTTCTTCCTGGGTATGTCTCTCCTCACTGCCCCCACCCAAAGAACCCCCTGCCTTCTCCCTGTTGATTCAAATCTTGCCCCCCTTTTTCCCAAACATGTTTCCCTGAGCCTCTTGTTTGACAGCATGTTGTGTGGATGTCTTAACTATTTCATGCATGTATTGTGCCTTAAGACCCAAGCTTTTATCTATAATCCATCAACAGCAAGTATAGAACCAGAAAGGAGCTCACCCCTATAGAGGCCTGGTTGTTGTTTATAAAGGACACAGTTTATCAGAAGAAACCCACAGCCCCTAACAAAACTGTTACAGAAGAGACCTAAAACCAGCCTGCTCCAGCCCCTGGGAAGGGAATAGTTTAATTCATAAAAACATCTCTTCTCTTTTATAAAAGACACGGCTGGTTGTCTCTCCAGGCCAAGCAGAGAGCCTGATTCCGTGAAAAAGAATCTCAGCCTTATGTGCTGGGGATATAGTTCAGTGGGAGAGCACTTGTCCAACATGCATGAGGTCCTAGGTCTGGCCCCTTCTGGAGCCCTTACTGCTTCTTTCCAGCCTGGTTCCTCTTTTTCCACCCTACCTCAGTTGGCTGGGGTCAATCCGTTTTGCCATTCCCCAAAGAAGCCAAGATCAGAGTGAAAAGTTGCCATGGAGGATCCTTGAAACCACCTTCTCATGCCCCACCTAGGAGGCTGTAAGAATTTCCATCATATTCTTCCTTCCTACCTCTCTCTCCTCTATACATCTTGCCCCTCTCTGTGGCTGGGTCTGATTCCTGTCCCAAAGAGGATTCCATTTCTACCCCTCTCTGTCTGCTTTTCTGCTCTGGACTCACATGTGGCTTGTCTTTATCCCCAGGGTGTATCATGCTGGAAGCGGGAGGGTACTAGAAGTATACACCACCCAGCCTGGTGTCCAGTTTTACACGGGCAACTTCCTGAATGGCACGCTGAAGGGCAAGAATGGAGCCATCTATCCTAAGCATTCTGGCTTCTGCCTTGAGACCCAGAATTGGCCTGATGCAATCAACCAGGTAAAGCCCCAGGCTGCCTTGATAGAGTGGTATTGAGTCCAAGGTCACAGCCCTCAAATCAGGCTGTATGGTTCAAAAGTCCATGTTTGTTTTCTTCTCCGTCATTCCAATCAGAAAACCCAAAGCAAAGCTACTGATGTGGCATTTACATGTTTTTAAAAAGCTTAAACTTTTTATCTTTGAAACTTTTATTCAGTACAATGTTTCTTTTTTTATTAAATATTTTTTTAGTAGTAGATGGACATGATCTCTTTATTTTTATGTGGTGCTGAGGATCGAACCCAGTGCCTCATATGTGCAAGGCGAGTGCTCTGCCACTGAGCCACAACCTCAGCGCCCCCGTATAATGTTTCTTTGTCAATAACCACACGTTCTGCAACCACACTTTTAAGCAGAGCCTTCTTTTCATCCTATTAGATTCTTTATAACTTTTTTTTCTATCTCTTGAAGCAGTTGTCCTCAAAATGCCAGCCTATAATAAGGAGCTTTCACCTTGCATCAGAATATAAACTTTTTTTTTTTTTTTTTTTTGGGTATCAGGGATTGAGCTCAGGGGCACTTAAAAACTAAGCCACATCCCATATCAGGGGCGCTTAAATACTAAGCCACATCCCAACCCTTTTTTGTAGTTTACTTAGAGACAGCATCTCACTGAGTTGTTTAGGGCCTCGCTAAGTTGCAGGGGATGGCTCTGAACTCATGATCTCCTGTTTCAGCCTCCCATGCCACTGGGATTACAGGAGGTGCCACCCTGCCTGGCTATAAACTGTTTTAGTCAGCTCTTTTTGTTGTTGTTGCTGTGACTAAAAGAATCAGACCAGAACAACTGTAGAGGAGGAAAAGTTTATTTAGGGTCTCATGGTTTCAGAGGCCTCAATCCATAGACATCAGGCTCCATTCCTTGGCTCAAGGTGAGGTAGGATATCATGGTGGAAGAGCGTGGCAGATCAGGAAGCAGAGAGAAAGAGCTCCACTTGCCAAATACAAATATATACCACCCCAAAGCCATATCCCCAATTCCCACCTCCTCCAGCCACACCCTACCACTTCAGTTGCCACTCAGTTAATCCTTATCAGGGGATTAATTTACTGATTGGATTAAGACTCTCACAACCCAATCATTTCTCCTCTGAACCTTCTTGCATTGTCACACATGAGCTTTGGGGAACAAGTTACATCCAAACCATAACATAAACCAACTACTTCCTCCAGCAAGAAACTCTTGCTTTGAAAAATTGTGCTTGGTGATTTAGATTTTCATTCTGGTTCAGAATGGTTCTTTATCTCATCGCAAACCAATACTACTGTTTCCACACTGGCACTGACCCACAGAGCCCTGGTCTAGAAGCACACCCTGGATAGCTAATGGCACGACCCTGGCTAGCGAGGTGTAACTGTGTTGTCTTCCCTTCACAGCCCCACTTCCCTCCTGTGCTGCTGAGTCCTGGGGAGGAGTACAACCATACCACCTGGTTCAAGTTCTCTGTGGCTTGAGGAAGTGTGAAGATACATCCTAGTCCATGGCCAGGCCTGGGTCCCCTCAGCAGCCTGTCTCCTGTCCAGAGACAAGGTGAAGATTTAGAGGATTTAAAAGTGATCATGTGCTAAATCATACAAATGGTAGCTGTCACAATAATTGGTCTGAATATTGATTTCCTTTTCCAGTGACTGGCTCTGGACCATGTCTAATGACAAGCTTTGTTCTCTGAGCAGTTCAAAGGGCAAGTGAACCCAACCATCAATGTCATCATCTAAGGCCTGAACTTAGCCCAGAAGTGGTGTCCAGGGACTCTTATACACTGTTGTAGGTTCCATCTCTCATCTTTGTTTCTGTGATATTGCTCTCATTGCTTTTCTGTCTCCTCCTCCTCCTTTACATCAAATCGCTTTACTCTTGGGTAGCACTCTGCAGTTTTCCAAGGTCATATGAGCTGGTTCACCATGCCAGCAGATGGAGCCTCTGTAGCAGGTAATTGACAAGTGAGGGAGCTGAGGCGCAGAGGTTGAGTGACCCACCGCAAGCTGGTAAAAAGTTTAAGTAGGACTTGAGTTTAGGTCATGCAAATTAAAGTCCCCTTCTTTACCTATCCCAGTCTGCCAGAGCATTCCAGGAGTCACTGAAGCGTTAAAAAGGGATCTGGTCCCTGCTCTGTTAGGAGCCAGCCTTTCTTCTCAGATTCCCTTTTGTAAGAAGCCATTCAAATACCCATAAAGAATCCATCATTTAGATTCCCTGCCTTTGGAGTTAACATTTATACTGGAAGCAGTGTTGTGTTTATGGAGATGAGGCTGGAGATTCTTTTCCTGAATAATCAAATCATTAATGATGGGTGTGAGCTGGTGCTTTTTAAAGAAATATATTTTATACTATTGTTTACTATAATCAGTTGAAATAAAGTCATCCCCAGAAGACTCCAGTTCTTTCATTCTTCTTTGTCAGGCATGGACGTTGGGGAGTGGAACAAGTATATGGTGTGTGTTCTGGATTCTGTGTTCTCCAATAGGCGCCCCAGCATTTTCCCAGAGAAAGATGGCAAACTGTTGAGCTTTCCATACCTCCTCTTTCTCTGAAACCAATAATAAATCAAAGATACAATTTTTAAATTCATTTCAGCATGGATGTTCTTAATACATACTCTGTATGCTAGGTCTTTTAAAGCATTCATGATGCCTGACATGCATGAGGCACTAGGTTCAATTCTCAGCACCACATATTAATAAATAAATACCTACATACATAAATAAAGGTCTATCAACAACTCAAAAAAAAAATATATATATATACTTAAAAATATATATATACATATACATGTATATATATTTTTTGAAACCTTTGGCTGGGGCTGGGGCTGGGGCTCAGGGGCAAACTGCTGGCCTTGAATGTGTGAGGCACTGTGTTCTTTCACGAGAGAGACTAATAAATGTATAATGTAAAATTGCACCATGAAAATTGAAAGCATTCCCTCTAAAAACTGGAATAAGACAGGGATGCCCTCTTTCACCACTTCTATTTAACATAGTTCTTAAAACACTAGCCAGAGCAATAAGACAGATTAAAGAAATTAAAGGGATATGGATAGGAAAAGAACTCAAATTACCACTATTTGCCGACAATATGATTCTATACATAGAAGACCCAAAATTCCACCAGAAAACTTTTAGGACTAATAAATGAATTCAGCAAAGTAACAGGATATAAAATCAACACCCATAAATCAAAGGCATTTCTGCATATCAGTGACAAATCCTCTGAAAAAGAAACTAGGAAAACTACCCCATTTATAATAGCCTCAAAGAAAAATAAAATACTTGGGGATCAACTTAATGAAAGAAATGAAAGACTTGTACAATGAAAAGTACAGAATGCTAAAGAAAGAAATTAAAGAAGGCCTTAGAAGATGGAAAGATCTCCCTTGTTCTTGGATAGGCAGAATTAATATTGTCAAAATGACCATACTAACAAAAGCACTATGCAGATTTAATGCAATTTCAATCAAAATCCCAATGACATTCCTCATGGAAAATGCAGTCACGAAATTCATCTGGAAAACTAATAAGAGAACCAGAATAGTTAAAGCAATCCTTATCAAGAAGAGTGAAGCAGGTGGCATCACTATACAAGACCTTAAACTATACTATAGAGCTAAAGTAGCAAAAATGGCATGGTATTGGCACCAAAATAAACGTGTAGACCAATGGTACAGAATAGAGGACACAGAAACAAACCTACGTAAATACACTATCTTATATTAAACAAAAGCACCAAAAATATATTGGAGAAAAGATAGCCTCTTCAACAAATGGTGCTGGGAAAACTGAAAATCCATATGCAACAAAATGAAATTAAGCCCCTATCTCTCACCATGCACAAAACTCAAGGGGATCAAGGACCTAGGAATTAAACCAGAGACCCTACACCTAATAAAAGAAAACATAGGCCCAAATCTCCATCATGTTGGATTAGGCCCTGACTTTCTTAATAAGACTCCTATAGCTTAAGAATTAAAACCAAGAATCAATAAATGGGATGAATTCGAACTCAAAAGTATCTTCTCAGCAAAAGAAACAATGAATGTAGTGAATAGAATGCCTACAGAATAGGAGCAAGTTTTTACCACATGCACATCAGATAGAGCACTAATCTTTAGGATATATAAAGAACTCCAAAAAGTTAACACCATGGGGCTGGGGTTGGGGCTCAGCGGTAGTGCACTGCCTGACATGCATGAGGCACTAGGATCGATTCTCAGCACCACATGTAAATAAATAAATAAATAAATAAATGTCTATCAACAACTTAAAATATAGATATATACTTAAAAAAAAAAAAAATATATATATATATATATATATATATATATACACATATGTGTATATATTTTTTAAATCTTGGGCTGGGACTGGGGCTCAG